TTCAGTGGTGAGGTTTTTGAGTCCTGGAATAGGGAGGGGGACCCCTTAGTGGGACAGTGGTTAAGCGCTCATTTGCGAACCCAAAGAGTAGCAGTTCGATCCTACCCATCGGCTCTGAAGGAGTGGCTCTTCAGACCTGGTGATCTGTTCTTGGGACGAGACCAGGAAATCCATCCTGCTGGGGACGTTGGGGGAAGAGCTCCTCTGTCCTGTAGGGTCCCAACCAAGGGCACCCAGGGACAACAACTGGGGGAGGGGGCAGTGGAGGGAAAGGGCGCCTTTCAAGCAAAATGGCGCTGCTTCCTTCTCTGGCCTCTGCTTCCGGTGGGGCTGAGCAGCCCGCCACTCAGAGGGCTGGAGCTCGAGCTCCGGTTTTCCCCAGCTCAGAGATGGTTCGGGTGGTTTTTCACTTTGTTGGTGTCTCACCGAGCTTGGCCCTGGCTCTCAGTTCTGTAAGAGCACCTCTGTTTCTGATCTGTGTCAGCCGCTCATGACGTGGAAGCCTCTCTCTCCTTTGATGGGCACCTGCGGCCCCACAAAGGCTGCCTTCGAAAGATGCCCTGGGAGCGGGGCAGGGCGCTGTTCCTCTTTTTGCATGAGAGAATGGAAACTCAGAAGCGGGGAGGAGGTTCCCCAAAGCCACACCGCTATCAAGAAACGGAGTGAGGGCTGAGGGTCGGCTATTATCTGACCCAAAGAACAAAGTATCCTGTGCCCCTCTCTGGTGTTACCTGGGCGGGGGCCCCACTCTCTCTCATCCATGTGAGGCGGGGTCCCTCTGTTCCCATAGAGCAGTTAGTCTTGTTCAGTGGGCTGCTTTTGACTTGGGGGCTCATTCTTGGCTTTCTTAAAGAAGTGGGGTCATCATTCAAGATGCAACATGACTTGCTTGTTTATAGTGTTTCTCTCTCTCTCCCTCCCTCCCCCCTTCAGCAGGAAGGACATTCTAGCTCATGTAAATTACCTTTGCTCCTGTTTCCTTTGAGGGCCTGTTGTGTGCTTTCTAACCCAGTGTCATAACCCAGCAGCTATGGATCCAGTAGAACCAGGGCAAGGCGAGCATGATGGTCCAGAGCATCCTTGTACTGGTGACACTGGTGATGCTGACGTGGCCAGGCTGCCTGGCCTTAGGCAGCCTCTGGAGGCTGCAGTCCTAGCAGGCCCAGCCTTTGGAGAGTTGCGATGCCGCGAGCCAGCATCCGCTGGCTGTTGCTTTGCTGGCCAATGTAGTGTGTCACTCATATCCCACGGAAGTGTATTGATGGTGCTGAGCAACATCAGCAACACTCCTGCTGCTGTGGGCCTTACAGTCAAGTGAGTAGGGATGAGAGGGGCGAAGCAGGTAGACAACTAAGAAGCCAAAAGTTCTGATAGTAAAGAGGTAAAGATTCCAGTGCCGTTTGTAAAGAAGGAGCCCTGGCAGCACCATGGGATAAGCGTTGGGTTGCTAACTCCAAGGTCGGCAGTTCAAAGCTACCAGCCGCTCCATGGGAGAAAGATGAGACTGGCTGCCCTCGAAAAGATGTACAATCTCAGAAACATCACGGAGCAGCTGCACTCAATCCCACAGGGTCCCCATGGCCACTCCGTGGCAGGGTGCTTGATCTTGTGCCCGTGACTTGCCTAGCACGCGACTCTCCGGAAATAGAAGCTGTCATATGTGGCATCTGCCCATTTTTGTGTGGTGTAAATACTCTGTGCCCAACTTCAAGGTACCAAAGAGACCCACTGACTCTTTAAAGTGTTTTACATCTGGCACTCACAAGTCCATACGAGCTGACTGGCATGCCACGGTGATTCAAGTGAGATAAAAAGTGCTGACTCCTCGCTGCAGAGATCCAGTGAAAGGGCATTTCAGAATCGAGAATAGCTTGTGCAAAGGCCCTGAGGTCAGAAAGAGGTGTGTTCGGGAGACAGGGAGGGGTGGCTGATGTTGGCAGGAGTCTAATGGAGTAGGAGGAAGTGAAGGCAGAGGCCATGTTGTGGCCAGCTTCCTAGATCACAGCTCTGAGTGTGGGTTTATTCTGAGGCCACAGGAAGCCATCCCTGGGCTTTGAGCAGCGGGGATGCCTGGGTCTGATTTCTTTGGAGAGATCACAGGGCTGCTCTGCGCATGACCGGCAAGAGGCCAATTAGGGTGCAGAGGTGACCCCAGAAGAGGGTGCTGGCCTGAGGTAGGATGCCAGCAGTAGGATGGGGAGAAGTGGGTGGACTCGGATAGAACCCTAAGGAAGGACAGAGACGGTGTGTGACCTCCAGGTGTTCCTGGCTCTTCGCTGTGAGCATGCCCAGGCTGCAGCGTCTGCTTTTCTCACCTCGGAAGGAGGAAGTGGCCTCTGACTAGCAACTTTGTTATCTCTGCTATCTTCTCACAACAGTGTGTACCATCTTCTGATAAATCCTGGAGAGGAGGTGATGAAATATGTGTATCTTGGGTCCCAGTGCAAAGCAGAAACAAAAACAACCACTCGGCCCCCTCTCCCTTTTGCCATCAGTCACCAAGCCACAGGGTCCTGCTCTTCAGTTTGCATGGGGCTGCTAACTTTGATTACCATCTCAATGCTGGGCCACCTCGTGGGGTGTGTATCAGACATGGATGCAGATATTGTGTGTCAGAGTGGCCGATTAGGACGAGAGCTGTCACATGGCCCTGTCTCTCTGAATAGCTCTGAGAGTGGGGGATACAAGGACTTCTCCATCTTCACAGATTGGCATCGCCCAATGAGACTTTTTTGCACGATGGAAATCTTCTATATTCCTGCTGGTCATTACAGTGGTCATTAGCTACGTGTTCCGGTGGAGACCTAGAAATGTGGCCAGTGCAGCTGAGGCAATGAACTTTTAATCTGATTTCATGAAAGTTGCAAGTCATGTGTGGTTGCCATACTGGATAGCACAATTCCAGACGCTACATGTAAATCCACTGTCGTAGAGCCTGCTTTTGCCCTTTGTTGTGGCGGTTGATTGGAGAGCCTACTGATGTTTTGTAGAACTTCGGGGAAGGCAGGATCTAAGTTCAGCGTGCAGAGAAAGGAAGCTCAGAGGATTAAATGATGTGCCTAGTGGTTTTCAGGTGGGGATTGGGGACGCATCTCCAGGCACACTCAGCTCAGTGTACTTTTTTCCTCTTGTTCATATGGGCTGAACAAGTTTAAGCTTCACAAGTTTTCCAGGAATACATTCGTTCTATAAGGTATTGTGACGTGAATAAAGTTGGAGTCCCCTTGATCGTCTTCTCCATCTTGAGATGCTCCTTCACCCCCAAGACGATTCTGGTGTGGTCTGTTTGGAGGCCATCTTTCCACACCTTTCTGGTGGACTGACATATGTAGGAATGGACAGATAGAAAGGGTTCGGCCTTTGTCTAAGTTGCGTAATACTGCACCTATTTTCCTCTTTAAACAACTCATGGTAGATGCTTTGGGTCAATTCACAGACTTTTATCTTACACTTAGAGATGCTTAATAGTATTTCATAACCTAGGACTTACTATTTTAGTCATAAGCCTATGGATGCAACTACCTTAGGTTTGTTTCCATAAACATTGTTGCATGTGTTTCCTGCATACCCTGTGTTTCTCTAGGGTCCACAGTGAGGGTCCCTGTTGGTGTGCTGGTTATGAGTTAGGTGCAAGGTGCAAGGTCAGCAGTTTGAAACAATCAGCCGCTCTGGAGTAGAAAGACGGGGGTTTTTTTCCTATAGAGTGACAGTCTTGAGAACCCACGAGGGTCGTTCTACCTGGTCCAACAGTGTCACCACGAGTTGACATCAACTCTATGGTAGTGAGTTTTTAAGAGCATATGTGTATTTTAAATTTTAGTAACTACCACTCCAGCGTGCTTCAAAATACTCATACCAGCGTACATGTACAAGGGGAATTAAAAAAATTCTTGGGGGAACAAATCCCTATTTTCCCACCAACTTTTTGAAGCCCTCTTATATTTCTATCTACTATATGAGAGTGCCTGTGTGATTATAGCCTCCAGACTACTTTGACATTATCAGATATTATTTTACGGCTGCTTATTTTGCAATTTTCTGATTACAAGTCAAACTAAACGTGTTCTATTGATCATGTTTTCCTGTGAATTGCCTGTTTAAGTGTCTTAATTTCTGCTGCTGATGGTTGATCTTATTAAGTCACTCAATGAATAGGTGCTAGAATACTTTGTGTAAGAGCTAAGCACCATCCTGGATTCTAGGGATTTTGTGGCAAATTAAATAATGCTTTCTTGCCTGCAAGAGGAAAGAGGGTGATATTCCTGTTGTGGGAGAAAGAAAAAGCTTGTGAAAATGGAACTAAGAGACAATGGAATTTGTCCGTTTGCTTTTTTAAAGTCCCCCCGCCCCCCATCTAGATGGCGACAAAAAGCAGGAAAGGCGTACAGGCACGACTGTGGGCGTGGGGTTCAGTTTTAAATAGGAAGGTCTGGGGATCTTGTGTTTCATGTACTCTTCTGTGGACATTCTCTGCCCTCCTCCTTTTAGTTTACATGCTGTCTGTTATCTTGCTAGTTGCTATCATGAATTTCCTTTCAGCGTAGGTTCTAGTACTCTTGCTTTGGCCTTTTCTTTTTCTAATGACAGACTCAGCTTGTCCTGTGGAATATTGTTATGTACATAAGGGAAGTTCTTTCTCTGCTCTTCAGGGTTAATTATCGTCAAGTACTTGGTGGCCTTTTTATCCCAGATTATTATTTTTTGCCCAACACGTTACCATCATATACTCCACAAACATCTACTGGCTGCTTCTCCATACATGTCATTTTGGGGCATGGCTGCTTAAATATTCCATTCCAGAGGGGATCTTATTCTTTATTCAGGCAGGTCTCTATGGATGGACATCAAGATTGATTCTGGGTCTGTCATATACGCTTCTAGAAGGTTCATCAATCACATGCGTTTTTGGATATCTGTAAGCCGTTCTGATCTCATGTGTGTGTTGGATGGGAGCCCCTACCCGCTGCACACGCCGTAATCATTTGTGTTTTCTCCTTTAGCTCCATGGCTACATGGAAAACAAGCCCCTGGGGCTCCAGATCTTCATTGGGACGGCTGATGAACGAATCCTCAAGCCCCATGCCTTCTATCAAGTGCACCGGATCACGGGGAAGACCGTCACCACCACTAGCTACGAGAAGACTGTGGGCAGCACCAAAGTCCTGGAGATTCCTCTGGAGCCAAAAAACAGCATGAGGGCCACGTACGGACAGGGGCCAAAGTGGGTGGGTCTGGGAGGGAGGACAGGGGATGTTGATGGAAGAGGCATCTTACCAATTGTTACCATTTTCCTTTTGGGGATGAGTTCTGCCACTCCCTTTCTAGACTAGAACTATTTGACTCTTTTATAACCTGTGGGACACAGAGTGCCCACCTATACTTTCCATCTCGAGGGTTTGGTGGGGAGCTCCTATCCCAATTTTAATGAGTGTTGTCATCTGGTGGGGGCCTCTGTAACTCCATGAACCTGAAGAAACTGGCTCCAACCTGTCAACCCCAACACTGGAGACCTCTTGGGGTACATGCGTCCCATTAATTGTATAAAAAAGCCCTTATTACTGCCAAACATTAAAAAAAAAATTCCATTCCAAATGCCATCCATTATTGGAAACAAGGTTTCTGCAACAAAAATTCAATTCAGAATGTAACCACTCTTGAAAGACTTAAGAGTTAGTTGTGGGCATCCTCCTCTTTCGATATCCAATACTTCAGCTTGCATTTCTGAAGAACAAGGAAGCTCCCACAGAACCGCAGGACGGTTAGCAAACTTGTGATAGTTCTTGCGGATACGTTCCCCTTATCTGTCCACCAGCCCACGTTCCGATGCTTGCCAGCGGCCTTCTTGCGTTTGTGAGATACCGTGCAGGCATGAAACACTCCCAAGAGAGATGAGATTTCCTTTAGGGGGATCCCACTAATATCTTTGGGTGCCCCCTCTCCAACCCCCGGAGGTAGTCCTGGCTGGATTGCTGGTGGCAGAGGGTGGCTGCAGCAGGCCAGTGGCCACGGGAGGAAGGTGGCTTGGTGGCGTGGGACTGACGGGGGCCCTCCGCTTCCCGGCAGCATCGACTGCGCGGGGATCCTGAAGCTGCGGAACGCCGACATCGAGCTGCGGAAAGGCGAGACGGACATCGGGCGGAAGAACACGCGCGTGCGCCTCGTGTTCCGCGTGCACATCCCAGAGGCCAGCGGCCGCATCGTCTCCCTGCAAAGCGCCTCCAACCCCATCGAGTGCTGTAAGTCGGGCTCTGGGGGGCGGGGCCTCTCCGGGGCCAGCGCAGGGCACATGACCTTCGACCCCCAGGCAGTGCACACTGGGTAATGGCGAAAGTGGAGTGCCTAGGGGGCCGGGGAGTGTAGTCTCGCGGCTTCTGTTTCCTTGCGGAGAGCTTCGTGGCCTCACAGGAAACGAGAAGATAAATACAGCCGATGAGGAGCCGAGGCTTTGCGTGGCGGGTCCCGTGCTACACACGGCGCTCTGCCCTTACAAAGGGAGACGCACGCAGCAGTTGGCGTGAGGCCATGGTACGTGGTACGTGGTCACGCTGGGTTCCGCCCCGCCCCCTTCAGACGTGCCTCGGGCCGTCCTAGAGGAGTGCGCATGCGCGCTGCCTTGACTCGGCCGTCGGCTGAGTACCCAGCGTGCTTTGGGGCGTGCGGCAAAGCTGGGCAGTGGCCGGTGTGTCGTCCCTACCGTGGGAGGAGGGAGAGGAATGAGGGGCTGAGGAAGCTGTCCACACGTAGGAAAAGTGTCCGGGCTGGGATGCGACCCCGAGGGGCCTCCCGCGACCTTCCCCCTCTGTCCCATCAGTCGATCGGATGCGGACGCGAGCCGTCTCATCCCACGTTCTT